GGTACTAGTGCCACCTCTCAGGCTGTTTTCTGGACTTCCATCCTAGGTGGGGAACCAGCAGAAAAGGGGCAAAGAAAGGTGAGCAGATCCATGCTCCCCTGTCTCTGGTCCAGAGCCTCCTCCTGCATCTGGGAGTGGGGATCAGGCAGGCATGCCATTTGGCCTTACCCTAAGCTAACTGCTCCAATTCAGGCATTACCTGTTAAAAAAAAAAAAAAAATATATATATATATATATATATATATATATATATATATATATATATATATATATGTTAAAGTAAAAGTAATGTGGCAGACAGACTACAGGCATGACCTTCAATGATCCTTTGCTCCTGGCATTTGAGCACATGTGTAATCTTCTCCCACTGAATGTAGGGCAAGGTTACATGACCAGACACAGCCAAGCCTCAGCCTCTCTGGGCCTTTGGCCACGTGGTCTCTCTGCACCTCTGCTTTAGGCTCCTCTGAGCCACTGGTAGGAGGTGGTGACCATGCTGTTTGCACATTAAACATCCAACAGAAAGTGATTAGCTACTCCGTGTCCCAATTCCAAATTTCCTGAGGAAAGAATCTGAGTGGTCAGATGAACACTCATGTTCTCTTAGGGAGAGGAATGCAGTGTCCCCTAAGATAAACTGAACCATTGGGACTACACCAGGCAGGGGCAGGACAGGTTGCAAAGAGGAGAGGGGATGGGCATGCCCCAAAGGTATCTATTCCAAGTCCATTCCTTCTTTTTATTAAGAAATAGCAAGGAGCCCTAACTGGTTTGGCTCAGTGGATGGAGCATTGGCCTGTGGACTGAAGGGTCCCAGGTTCGATTCCAGTCAAGGGCATGTACCCTGGTTGCAGGCACATCCCCAGTGGGGGGTGTGCAGGAGGCAGCTGATAGACGTTTCTCTCTCATTGATGTTTCTAACTCTCTATCTCTCCCTTCCTCTCTGTAAAAAAAAAAATAAAAAAAAAAATTAATAAAATATATTTTTTAGAAAGAGAGAGAGAGAAAGATAGCAAGGAAATCTACAACAATGTCCAAGAAGCTTTTAGAGACTTTAGACAAGAGATTGTGTTTGCCACAAACCGTAGAAATCACTAGAAATCTCTTATTTGGAGAGAAATTTAGTAAGTTATTTTAATTAGATATACTCATCTTTTCTCCTTGATACCCTGATCCATACCGGGTTGCTGCTGCCCTCTTGGGCATAAAATAAAAGGTAAAAGGGTGGTTTTGCCCAGTTAATACTCTGCCTCAATCTAACAAGATTCATGGAGCCATGGGATTTGGTATTTACCACGCCAGTCAGTGGACCAGGGTGCACGATAGCCATAACCCAGCTCAGGGAAGAGAATGTGTCCTCCCTGCTCAAAGTAACGGCTACAAAGTATAGGCCCAAGTCCAAGGCAGACTCTGTATCTCATACGCTGATGCTAAAGATGAAACAGACCGTTCAACTTCAATTATACCTTGCTTAGTAGAAACATTATCTCCAATTAGCATAATTATCTAATGAACATTCAAAGGGGAAAAACTAATTACTAGACTCATAGGCTCTCTGGTTGGAAGGAAACTCATGGGTCAGTATAAATGCCTGCCCGCACACCCCGCAGCTAACCCCCACGGATTTTAGGATCCCCTTTACCACGTCCCTCCCAGGTAGATGCCAAATCTTCTTCATATCTCCATTAAAGAGCAGTTTCCATTTCTGGAAAACTACAGTTATCAGGAAATCTTGACTTGAATAAGACTAAAACTTGGCCTCCTTGTAACTCCTACCAATTGGTACACATTTGTCCAAATTTTACGAGTTTCAAAAAAAAAAAAAAAAACCAACAAATCAAAACAAAAAAAAAAAGGCTCTTTGGCATATCAAGAAGAAATATCTTCTTATATTAAAAAGTAAGCTATGCCCAGTGGCAGGTACATGGAGTTGCCCACTCAGCAACCATTCTGCACACCTCCTCCTTCTGGACCAAGAAATCACCGATTTTGCTTCATTATGATTTGGAAGGCAATATGCTCAAGGGACGACATCCCTTCCCCAGCCACAGAAATGAGGTCTAGTCAGGTTTTGAAACTGAAGGACTAGCCGAAACCGGTTTGGCTCAGGGGATAGAGCGTTGGTCTGCAGACTGAAAAGTCCCAGGTTCAATTCTGGTCAAGGGCATGTACCTTGGTTATGGGCACATCCCCAGTAGGAAGTGTGCAAGCAGCAGCTGATCGACAATTCTCTCTCATCAATGTTTCTCTTTATCCTTCTCTCTTTCTCTCTATAAAAAAATCAATAAACTATATTAAAAAAAAAAAAAAAAGAAAGAAAGAAACTGAAGGACCATAGGGATGGTCACAAGACACAACCTGGCCAATGAGATATAAGGGAAGCCTGCTAGGAAACTTCTGGGAAAGTTTTTGCTTCATGACAGCAGTGTGTAATGTGTTTGAGAAGAGCTCCCTGGCTCTAGCCCGCCCACTTTTCCCTGCCTTGAATGTGCTTGTGTGAAGTGTGGTACTTGGAGCAATGGCAATCATTTTAGTACCATGAGGTGACAAACTTAAGGATGAGAAGCCAATTTGCCAACGATGCAGAACTTAAATCTAGAAGGAGCCTGGGCCTCGGATATCACTAAGCTCCTGCTGCTCACCCTGGAGTGGCCTACCTCTGCACATATGGTTTTATGAGATACTCACATCTTTATCACAAACCACTGCTAGTTAAGCTTTCTGTAACTTATAATGGAATATGTTTTAACCAACAACAGCTCACCAGAACTTCAGATCTCTAGGATCCCTCAGCTGAGATTCATATAATATTTCATACCCCCACCTCAGCCCTACCGTCCTAACTTCTCTCCTTACTACAATCCCTATTTGTAAAGTGTGGTGAAGAAAACTCAACCCAAGCCCTCACTGAAGGCTACTCAGAACAGAGCTGTTTCCTTTTCACTTTACCACTTCTATCCCAACTTCACTTTCTTGGCAGCTTTATCTCGCCTTGGGGTTACTGTGACAACTCTGACTCTTTCCCAGATCCTTGGCCTGAGTCTCTTACCTGCCATCCTTGATCAATGTGTCATTCGTACCCAAGCGCTAGACTTTGCATTGGTCTCTGTCATGGGCCAGGTTGCTTCCTAGCCTGTCAACATTGCTTTGGCTTATTCTTCTTTCATCCAGTCTATTAGCTCCCTCACAGCCCATGGCAGCCTGGAAATGTGATCACTATGCTATCAATGTACTCACCCACACAGCTCTGAAAACAACAACAAAAAACACAAGAAAGCAACCAGAGACTAAATGCAAACACAATGCTAACAGTCGGTCTTGACAACGATAACAGCCCTGTCAGTGTCTTCAAAAATACACCAACTTGATACCCATTTGGACTGAACCTTTTCTAGTATTAGTGCCAGCAGGAGAAAAAGGCAGGATTCATCCCCCAGGAGCTAAAATTGCTGAAGAAGGAATGGTGATGGGAGGTCGACATATCCCGCGGGTCATTATTACGGCAGTTGTCAGTCTCCCCATTTGGGGTGTCCTACAATTGCAGCTTGTTCGGTCATGTGCAGCACAACACAAGTTGAAAAGAAGTCCTGGAGAGTTAAGAGCCTTGCTCTGAAAAGACCGTGTTTTATGGGATGCAGGCATCTGCTTCATAATGATAGGACATAGTCCTGATTTATAAAGCAAAGCAAAGATATATTACCTGCCATACTAATAATATATGTTTTTATTCTAGACATAATAATCATATCTGAAGTAAGGAGGTATCTGTAATACCAAGAATTAGGAGGGGATAATGAGAAAGAGAGAGAAATAACAGGGAAAAGACAAATAAATTCTGGAAAAGCAACCAGAATAACTGTCTTTGCATTTCCCAAGATCTGATTTTTCATCTTGCCTACCACATTCAAGTTCATGTCTAACACCCTCACTGCTGCTGTGACTGTCTTCACCACCAACCCCATCACTACCACTACTACCACCAACAGCACCGATATGGGCACCACCATCATCAACGCCATCACTTCCTTACCACTGTCACCAGAAATGAAATGTATGGTCTTCCCTGAGCACTGCCCTGGGTACTCTAAAGGATAAAAAGATTTCTAACGTTAACTTTTAACACCACTTGGGCCTAATATCAAAGTAAAATTTTATTATTCTTTGATACAACTGGAAAGTTAAATAACAAAATGATAATAAAATTGAGTGTCGCTGAGGGCATAACAAGGCAGGCAGGCGCTTTGGTGTACTGACCGCCATTACTAAATGCGTTTCCAGCACTAGAGACACAGGTGTGTGAGGCCAGGTGCTGAGGTACCTCCAGCCGCTCCTCTCAGGCTAAGGCTCTTACTACACAGGTAGGGTTGTTCACCTGCTGCCATTCTCTCACTGGAAGATTGGGAAGCTGGACTTGGTGGGAAGAGGACCAGCTTGATGTCTGAGGACCTGGGAATGAGTGCCCCTCTGCCCCAAACCAGATGAACACCCTTGGACCAGCCACTGCTCTCTGGTCTCAATGTCCTGCTCCACTAATGGACAGGAATGAGGTCTCTGGGTCCCCTTCAGCTCCAACGTCCCTGCCTCAGTGAAAGGCCAAACTCCTCTTTTCTTCCTCCTCTGGGCATCGATGCAAGAGTCTAACCCAATTGTTTTGGTCAGAAAGCCCTCTACTGCTTAAATTATGAAAACCAAATAAAAAACAAACACCTAATTTTGCTTTAAGTGGTGACCTTCCTTACTCATGTTCAGAGGGGGAATTTTTTCTAAGCAAGGCTGGTGAGATCTTCAATGCCTTTCACATGGGTTACCACGACTTCACAAAGCCTTTACCTGAAGAACTAGTTCTACATGAAATTGACTATCAATGGGCTCAATTACCTGGAAGTCCTGAGTCACCATGGACTATAGGAGAGACATGGCCTTCCCACCCCATTCCACTCCCAGCAGAGTGGAATTAAGCCAGGATGGAGAACAAGCTGGGACTTGGTGTCCAAAGCTGCAGAAATGAAAATCCCCTTGGAGATGTTCTCCTGCGTTCAGCAATTTATTCAAAGGACAGTGCAATTTAAATGCAATATCTGGCATCGTTAGTTTTCTTGGCTCCGTGCATGTTAAACCTGATATTTTTACACTAGAGGCCTGGTGCACGAATTCGTGTATGGGTGGGGTCCCTTTGCCTGGCCATTGATTGAAGCCTATAGGGGAAGGGGGCTGGCCAGCCCTGGGGAAGGACCCCAGGAGGTTAGCTGGTAAGTCAGGGGGGTAGGGGGAGGGGATTCAGGAGGTTGGCCAGCCAGAGGGAGAGGCCTCAAGAGGTTGGCTGTGAGTGCACACTGACCACCAAGGAGCAGCTCCTATGTTGAGCATCTGCCCCCAGGTGGTCAGTGTGTGTCATAGCAACTGGTTGACCAGTCATAATGGTCACTTAGGCTTTTATATAGAGATTATTTTAAAAAGAGAGAGATGCTCTCACCCCTCCTCTTTCCTTTCTCTCCATTAACCTGGCTCTCTACCAAGTTATTCTCAGGATCTTGGGAGACTGCAAAAGTGGTTCTTATTCATTGTCCATTGAATATTTACAGACACTGTTCTGAGCACTTTCCATGTATTAAAGTACATAGCACAGGTACATAGGGATTGTTATTGTCCCTATTAATGTTGGGGACACTGAGGCTCAGCAAGTTCAGGGAGTCAAAATCTCAGCTCCACAAACACAGTGGTCCACAGCCCTGGCCGGTCCCTATACTTGAGAAGTCAATGTCTCAAGTGTGGGGCCAGAAAATGAACAAGAGAGCAAATGCGATATTTTCTGCAACAAATAAAAGCAGCGAAAAGAAGAAAGGGTGGAGATCAGTCCCCTTTGTCCAAGGTCACACAGCGCCCAATGGGTGTGAGGCTGGGCCTGGAACCCAGCTCTCTGATTCTGGGCCCACCTCTGGGCACCCATGTTGTTCTTCTCAAAGAGGCTTATCTGTCACTCCAACGTGGCTCTTTTTGGAGGAGTTAACGTGAATTATCACTTTAATTCACTTTATATAATCACTATACACTTTATGTATTACTATATGTAATAACTGGGTGAATGAGAATCCTCTTAGCTACATACATTCTTAAGCTCTGCAGGCAAAGGGATGGGATTTCTGGTTCAAAGGTTTCACAAAAATCACCCTCAAAAGAGAAGAAAAAAAAATATATCGAAAATACAGATTCTTGTTCCTATGAAATTATTCCCAGAAAGATAAAACCTATATAAACTTCTACCAGTGTCTCTACCATCCAGTGCTAAACATGGATATAAATCTTTGACAATTCAGTGGCAGGAAGATGGCATGTTGCTGACCTCCTTTGCATTTTTTTTAAATGATTAATATAGTTTTTCTGAATCCTTATCTTATACTTGTCTCCGACTTTAAGAGAAAATTTGTAAACTCAGCCTGTAGAGCATTCATAAAAGGGATAAGCACCACATATTTCTAACTTAATTACCACACCATTAATACGAGCTCCACACAATGCCTCCGGAAATGGCTTTTGTCTGGGAAACAGAGAAGAGTGTGTGTGGCTTCCTTTCCAAATCAGACAGCTGAGCGCTCGGCCAAGTTGTGTCCCAGAGCACAGACTATCCTATCCCATGTGCCACCCACCCTGGGGAAAGACCTCCCAGGAGCGCCTGTGCCCATGCTTCAGGGCACTGTAAAGGCTTTTGAGAAGAAAGAAACAAGGAGCAGGTCTCCAGTTTGTAGAATGGCTAATTTAAGATGTAGTGGCACAATAATACTTTTCACTTGAATAGCCTTTAAGCTTCATTTTGAAAACAGCAGTAGCCATCTTGAGACATATTTATGGTGAGTTCTCAGCACTCCACCAGTGGGGGTACAAAGCAAAATTCTAAAATAACTACTTATAAAGCTTAAATGAATTTAATTAGGCTGCTAAAAATGAGAAAATGCTAAATTACAAACCACCATAGACATGATTAATTACATTTGCATTATGCACAAAGCTCAGGACTGAAACCAACCCCCCAGCTTACTCCTCCCAGAGGGATGTGTGGTTGCCAAGAAGACAGCTCCCAGCGGAGGCAAACCTAGATCCAGAGTCTGCAATCACAGCAGGGAGGGTTTGATCAGAAAGGTCCCCTGCGGCCTCTATGGCCTTGTGACCACTGAGTGGCTCCTCCTTTCTGGATCAGTCCCTGAAATCCCTCCCTGCAGGCTTCCTGGGTCAGATTCCAAGGTTTCCCAGACACCAGAACCAGCCCTTCATCATTGCTTCCCAGCCCCTCAGGACCCCCACACGCACCGTTTCTGGTCTGTGCCGCCCAGCAGTCATTGCAGTTGGTGCTCACTAAATAAGAGCTGTTTGAGTGAACAGACAGTGACAAAGGGAAGTCTTTCCCAGGGGGAGATGAGAATGACAGACAAGAAGTCCATGACCCATGACATGGGAAAGAGCAGATTATCAAATGGTGTGGAGAGAGGATAATCCTATTTCAAACTTTATACAAAGGTAAGGAAAAAGAACAAATTCTAAAAAGATACTTTCACCTCTCAGCATTCAATGGCGATAAGCAGAGGGCAGATGCAGACCAGGCCTCTTTCCTTCTGTTGGGGAATAAACATTTCTCTAAAAATCCCCAGGCAGCCTTCTCCTGAGTTGGTGCGATGGCCGCCCACAACTGAAAGCAAACTGGGACTGGGAGGGCAGGGCTTGTTCAGCCTCTATCAGTGGGAGAGGGCAAGGCAGAGGGAGTTGGGAATAGGCAACAATGTTGGCCCCGTATCTTCTCAGTCATTTGTTCAACAGGTATTTATTGAGTACCTGCCATGTGCCAGGCAATGTCTGGGCGATGGGCTATAGTAGTGAAACAAAATTCTAGGCCTCATGGAGCTTACGTTCTAACAGAGGTCCAAACAATAAATGTAATAAAATAATAAATCGTAGAGGAGGTTAAGTAAAATAATGAAGGGGAAGCATAGTGAGGAGGGCCAGAGGGTGGGATTGTGAGTCCACACAGAGAGGGAAGCCTCCAGGACAAGGTGCTTCAGACTAAGCGGCTCGCCAGGAGGGCACCTGGGAAGAGTGTTACCAGCAGAGAGACAACAGGGCAATGGGCCTGGGGCAGGAACACCTTGGGCACACCTTGGGCACAGTGAGAGGCCAGCGTGACCTTGCAGGTGAAGACACTGGAGGCCAAGTCGCCTGGGGCCCGGTAGGATGATATGAGTCATCAGGATGCGGGTCCGAGGAAATTGGTGCTCCTTGGGAGGATTTGGAGCAAAAGAGTAAGAGAATCCAAGTTACACTTTTTAAATGGTTTGATTGAGATATATAATTTACAGACAATACAATTCACCCATTTAATGTATGCAACTGAATGACTTTTGGTATATTAAGAGGGTAGTGCAACCATTGTCACTATCTAACTTGAAAACATTTTCATACCCATTAGCAGTCACTCCCTCCCTCCCCCTCCAGCCCTAATCTCCCTCCTGTCTCTGTGGGTTTGCCTCTTCTGAACATTTTACGTAATTACAGTCATAAGACCTGTGGTTTTTTGTGACTGGCTCCTTTCACTTAGCATAGCTTCAAGGTTCATCTACGTTGTATCAATTCTACATTTCTGTTTATTATCAAAAAATATTCCATTGTATTTTCCATACCACATTTTCTCTATCTGCTCATAATGAGGAAGCCAGTTGATGGAGACTTAGGTTGTTTCCACTTTTTGGCTATAATAAATAATGCTACTAGAAGCATGCATGTACAAGATTTTGTGTGGATGTATGTTTTTGGTTTGTTCTGAGGAACTACCAAACTGTTTTCCAGGACGGCTGCACCATCCCGCATTTCCACGGCAGTGTATGATGGTTCCAATGCTTGCTGCTGTCTTTTTTTTTTTTTTTTTTTTAATTATAGTCATCTTTGTGGGTGTAAAATGGTATCTCATTGTAGTTTCGATTTGCATTTCTCTAATTATTAATAATGCTAAGCATCTTTTCATGTGCTTATTAGCCATTTGTATATCTTCTTTGAAGAAAAAGTCTATTCAAATCCTTGCCCATTTAAAAAATTGGGTTATTTGTCTTTTTATGACTTGTGTTTTAAAAGGCTTATTCTAAGTGCTGTGTTGAGATAATAGTGTGTACAAAAAGGATGCATTCATTTTGAAAAATAAAAATTTGTTAAATATCTAAAAAAAAAAAATACTGGAATCAAAGGAGCTGCATCCAAGTTTTGGTCCTCACACTCCACCCTTGACCAGGCCTGGGTTCTTGACCAGGTGTAAGGCCCAGAAAACCACATCCTCTCTGAGTCTCAGTCCTAATCTATAAAATAGGAATGCTGGGCCTTCATTAGGACTTAACACTGAGGGCAGGCTCATAATGAGGAAACCAGGAGGCCGGGCCTTGCACATCCTAGCACACGGTTTCAGTCTTGCACAGAGCAGAGAGAGATGGCTTCATTGTCCTCAAGTCCCGAGAGCCTCAGACACACCTGATGATACTGTGTGCACTGCATTCTGCCCACCGAGTGCCTGAGACCAAATCACAGAAGAGGCATGGAAATGGGTGGTGTGCGGTTTGACCATTTCTAGTTTATATTGTTCTGGAAGCGATGGTGAGTCTGGGCTCGCCATTCCCAACAAGGGATCATAAAATATGAGGAAATGAACTAAGGGGGGTCAGTGCATGAAAAATGACTGTAGACATATTCATAAGGAAGGAACTCAGGAGGAACTACGCTGTAATAGTCAGGGAAAGCTGCTGAAACCAAGGGCACAATAATACCGTGGCCTGTAAAAGAAAGAATTTTACTTCTCTCACACAGGACAGGGCCAAGATGCCTAGTGCAGGAGGTGGGCACCTCTCCGTCCATTCACACTCCCACCTCCGACACTGGCATCGCAGCATGGCTGATGCTGGGTAGACGGACAGGCATGCAGGTTCCAGCCAGCAGGAAGGTTAAAGTGTGGAGGGCTCACTTCCACTGCCACCCAGACCCATGGCTGGTCTACATTGCTCTACTCCATGGCCAACAACCAGGTCACCTGTTCACATCTCACTGCAGGTAGGACAGCCAAGGCCTGGCTGTGACTCTACTCCTACGCAAAGAGAGAAAATGGCTTCTGCC